CAAAACATTACCGTATCAAAGCTTTTTCATTGTTCTATCCTAAGCTTTTAGAGTACTGGGGGACCAAGCCTTGCTCGGTGGTTTACCCTAATAGTTAAAATAATATCATAATCAGACACATTTTGTCATTTACAAAAATAGTTTCATTACAAATCAAAAGCTAATTTAATCGCTGAAATAATATCAACTGTGTAATGTGGGTCTAATTACACTCGCTTCATAGGTCTTAGCATTTAGATTTTGCAGTACCGTGACTTGAGTAATAACATTTTGTTTTAATATTAACCACTGTCATAACTGTACACTTATATAAACTGAAAGCTCATATTTTTTGACGTTTTGAATTTATGATGGACAGTTATAATTAAATGCTACGGAATAGTGTGTTTAAGGCTACCTGTAGGCTACGGGGAGTAGAGGCCAACCCCACGCCTGAAAACTGAAAACTGGATATTTCAATCTAAAGCTTTTCCTGCCTGTCAGATTTCTGGATCAGTTTGGATGTTAAAGAACTACCTTTTGACCACGGATCAGTTTGGACACACGTTGTGTGCTTTCATGACACATCAATCGGTTCCAATCGTAAATATCCAAAATCCGCTAATGAGGAGGTGAAATTTTGTTCCTGAAGATCGATTGTAGCTTCCTTCACTTTCAGATTATTTATATTCGCTTTGAACGTCTTCTGCGCTTCATTCTCAATCTTGTAAATTAACCTTGAAAACATTTAACAGTACTTAATAACTAACGGTATGTGTAAACCAAACTGAATATAACTATTCTTTAAAACGTTTCTAGTGCAAACTAACCAATACAGTTATTTTTGTTTACTTGTAGGCTAAATCAAAATGATGATAGTAGGCCTACAGGTAATAATAATCAGTATTAGCTGTTTTTGTTAACTTCAGCTACAAAAAGGTATTGACAATAACATGTTCACTTTCAAGGGCTGCAGGACGGAAACCAGATTTTTCCCAGCCTTGTGACCAACGCCAATCGATTTCTTGTGGCCAAATACCCCATATTAAAGAAAAATATAAAAAAAAGACAGAAAAAAGTTTGCTCGTACATGCGCTTGTTTTGGATTATAGGGTAGCCTGCGTTATTTAAGAATTAAAATGGAAGAAGCCATGTGTTTTTGATTTATTAATAAATATGAATAAAAACTTAAACAAATTATAAAACAAGTCATTTTTTAACTTTAGGTAAAAAATTAACAATAGGCAGAACTAAATTAAGTTATTTTGTGATTGATACAGTGGCGGTTCTAGGACCTTGTCAATGGGGGAAGCAACAGTGGGGATCACCCCCAATAAAGCAGGGGGGCACTGTTCCCGGGAAAATTTGGAATTTTCAAATCCATTTGGTGGCTTTCTAAAGCCATTTAGATTTTTAACACCTAAAACTGTGCCCAATTGGCCATAAACTCCCATTTCACCTGTTGTTTGTCTTGAGCAAATAGAATTTTAAAAATTAAACTATGACGATTGCATTCATGAATTTCAAAACACACTGTAGACTACGGCCATACCCTCTTAAAATCCGTTGGGTGACTTTCACCAACCAGTTTTAACGTCTAGAACTGTGTGCAAAACCTCCCATTTCCCCATTTATTTGTCATAAATAAGTAGACATTTTTAAAACTAACCACGCCGATTGCATTCATAAATCTCAAAACATATTGTAGGCTACGGTCATATCCTCCTATAAGCTGTTTACTGACTTTCTAAAGCCATTATTAATGTCTATATCTGTGTCCAACAGTCCAAAAACCTCCCATTTCACCTGTTATTTGTCTTTGTCATGAGCAAGTAGGTAGACATTTTAAAAATCAAACTATGACAAACTTGCATTCATGAATTTCAAAACATAGGCCTACTATAGACTACGAAGCAATATCTCCTAAAAGCCAAACAGTGACTTTATAAAGCCATTTCTAACGGCTAGAACTGTGCCCATTGTCCTTAAACCATCCATTTCACCTGTTATATGCCATGCAAGCAAGTAGACACGTTTTTTAACATTACGTTTTTTCTCCATTTCATAGATCTGTCACAATATGTACTATAGTATCAAACTCAGTAATAGCATTGACTATATAAACTTAAACACTACCTAGTGTTTATATATTCAATAGTACTGTAATAGGCTACTGGTGCTACCGCTGATTGCTGATTGATGCCTGTGTAAAGTTGGTGGCTAGCAGACAATTTGACAACTAACTATGGAACATCAGGAAATCAGCTGTTTCCCCGTCCTCGCTCGGGTGCTCGGCGCTCGCCTTTGCCCTAGCATGTCAACAGCTGACTGCTGTAAAAATTGGATGATGCGTACAACTTTCGAAAGTGTAATATTGTTTTATTCATTGTGCTATTGTCCACAAAGTTTATCTAGCCTATGTGGAACTGAATACTACTCCTGCCATCGCTTATGAGTTTAATAAAAACTAAATTGTAGGCTATATTTTATGACATTGTGTGTTTGAGGACAAAATGTACGTTTAAATTTATTTTTCCAGAGGTCCAAGGGGGGGGGGGGCTTTAGCCCCTGTAGCCCCCCCCCCCTTGGAACCGCCACTAGATTGATATATATTGAATCGGATAAACATCGATATTTATTGTTACCCTATTCATCCGATAACTTAATATATCGCAGGTTCTCTGCAGAACTGTACCCTAAATAATTGAAGTCCTAGCTTAAGTAGGCCTACCTAAGTTAAAAGCAAATTACAGGTACGGACGGCACTAGCCTGGATAAGAATGTCAAAACCACCAAAACTTGGCCTACATCTATTTAACTGAGGTTACTCATGTCCATTCCACTTCTTTAACACCTCCTTTACTTATTATACCTACTGTAGGAGTATAAACTTAACACTTTAGATGTGTAAGTTTATTGTGCTTTTCAAAAATAAGTTAGACTAAGATTTACAGTTTATTGTTGCTGTTTATCGACTGGAAAGTTTTAAAAGAAATTAAGTTCATCTAAGTAAGTTAATGTTGCTGCCCTCATAAGTTATTTGTTGGAAAAATGGCTTAAGTTAGGCTAGCCCTGTTATTTTTTAGGCAGAGGATAAAAAACTTACAGGACCGGTAACCAGATGTGGATTAGGCGTCCGGCAGTTACTGTTGTAACCTAATTTAACCAACCAAACTTGCTGATAATGAAAAAACCGAATTAAGGTAAAATTCTGTTCATAAAATAAAATTAGAAATGCCTCAAATTCTAACAAAAGATGTACAGTTAAGAAGAAATGGCCCATTCTAAGCTAAATCTTTGACAAAAAGTTAGTGTTACCGATGGGATTTGATTTATAGTAGGCTATAACTTAAGTTTTACCTCTTATATCAGCCGAGCATTCTACCCACTACACCACGAACACCGATGGCTATAGGCCTACCTACATCATATGTATCGTTGTGGTAAATGGTGTTCCAGGCCCCCACAGCCCGGTGACGTCACTGCCGGACGCCTAATCCACGTTCGGTTACCGGACGTGTAACCTCTGCGTATTTTTTATTTAGGTAATTTAATCTCAAAGGTTAATTATTCTTAGGTACTATTAAGGGTACTTTCCTGTTAAAGGGAACATTCATTATAATCGATGATTTTTTTCCGATATAGGCCTAAGTTTATCGATATTTTATTTTTCAATCCGATATCTTATATTGATTATAAGTAAGTTAACAAATTGAAACATAACTTATCAGTTGACAACTACGACAAGTTAAGGATACAGTAAATAAATATTGTTCAGTATCATCAAACAATTAAAAAAATATTAGCCTATAATTAAATGAAACTGTTCTAAACTAACAGGTAACAAACCAAACTTGCTGTAAAATTTCAACATCCTGTTTGAGAGCCTATTCCCCATATGAACAGTAACTTAAGTTAACTTAACTTGGCCTACAGCAAGTTTGGTTAACTTAAGTTGAAAGGTCAGTTTAGAATAGTTTCATTTTCTAAAATTCAATATAGGCTAAGTTATAGGCCTATGGGCTATTTATTTTTGCCTAAAAAAGGTCAGGCCTGGCCTTAAAAAATAGTTCTTAATTTGTTATTTAAATATGTTTGAAAATATTAAAACAGAAGGAATAATACAGATTGTGAAGTAAAACCAAAATATCGATAAACTTATCGAAAAAAAATCATCGATAACTTAATAATGAATGTTCCCTTTAACAGGAAAGTGCCCTAGCCTATTTAGTTAAACCTCTTAACTTAAGTGTGATTTATCCTGAGAAATAATGAAAATACATTTTAACTTAGTTTGCCTAAACTGGTTTGTTTTCTTTGCTCATAAAATTGTATGAAAATTACAATTTCCTGTCAGATTTATCTTTTTATAGGCCTAGTTGGAAAAGCCTAAGAAAGATGCTGGTAAGTTCCAAAACAGCCAAATTGACTTTATAAGTTGGGTTAAGCAACTGCCTTTGGCGTTTAAGTCAGCCCTATTTTAGGTTAGATAAGACTACACCCAAAAATTGTAATAGCAATGTGAGGAAAGACCTGTGGTAGAATTGAATCTCTAGTTAATCAATTAATCGTTAAAACATAGTAATAAAAATTGTATTTATGGGGAAAAATTATTTACGAGAAAGGGCAATTAAAGATAGTTTTTAACGGCAGAGTCCAACGATAGCGTTTCCTACTCTGCCATAGGCCTCACCACACCAGGCATGACCACACTGAATGGGAAGTTTAAAAAATATGAGCATTTTTTACTAGGTTAGTTAGGAAATAATTAACTTAATCTCGATGAAAAGACTATGTACCAGGAAAAATACTTCTAAAAGACCTGGTTAAATATGCCTAAAGGAAATGAAAAATTGATTTTTGCATGATGAATCCCTCCTTATTATATTTGGCATGTCATACAAATTTAACAAGATATCTGCTTCAAACGATCAAAATTAAAAAAGCTGACGATAAATTGGAAAAAATCCCCAACTTTCATAAGTTAAGAATAAATATTTGCTATTGTACAAAACTATTACCTGGGTAGGCGAGGGCAGAGCTGCCATCTTCATAAGAGTACGTACTACACCTACACCACACACAAAACGTCATTGGACAACAACCACCGAATACAAGAGTTGTTCAGCCAATGAAAATGCAGATCAATAATGCTTCACGTTCGAATATCGTTATCAAAACTACTACTAGAATGCAGTAGTTGCTCTTCTTTTTTACAAAAACGATGTAATTCTTAAATTCTAAATTCAAGAGAGGTTCTTCTCCTTATATTTCTTATATTAACACATTTAATTTGTAGTACAAAAAATGTAATACGATTAAAATACCCACATTAGTATAGTCGCCATTTCAAAGTACTGTAAAGTATTAAAGTTAATAAGCTTTTAACGGGTCACTGTCAAAGCGCCACCACGTCAAACCACCACCTCGGTGTTTTGGTCAGAGGCGTCAACCCACCACCACAAACGTGCCATCACGACAACCCGCCACCACACATTTATCTGAAGTGGTAGGTTGTCGTGCACACTCCTGTCAATGAGCCACCACGACAAAGTACCACCACCAGTTTTTATCATATGTGGTGGGTGGCGGGTTGTCTTGAAGCTCCATGTTTGATTACGGAAACCCGCCACCTCGCACGTATGCGTCAACGTGCCACCCCGTCAACCCACCACCACTCTATAACAAGGTGGTGGGTTGACGTGTACGCTCAATGTTTGGTGCCGTCAACCTGCCACCTCGCACGTATGCGACAACGTGCCACCCCGACCACTCGCTCCCATGAACACTGGCAGTTAACCAGTTGGAATTATATTCAGTAAAATTAAATACTGTACTTTAATTCATTTATTTTAAATTTAATATTGTAAATTAAATTAAATTAATATTTCAAATCAGGAATTTGATTTATCCTATTTTATTTTAATAATATTAATGTGAAAGTTTGTGTGTTTGTTTGTTTGAAGTTAAATCACGCAACTATTGGTCAGATTGGGCTGGAAATTGTTATGGTTATAGCTCACATTCCCGATTTACATATTCATAATAGACATATTCTGACCTAAAAAACCCCTTTCGGGGTCGGTATTTACTCAGGGGAGGTATAGAAGAGGCTACGATGACAGCTGTGGGCTTCTTATTAGCTGAGGGAACGCCATTACCGTAACAAAACGGACAATAGCCATCGGCCTCGGTGGTCTAATGGTTAGCGTGCTGGGCTGATATACTGTAGGTCCCGGGTTCGAATCCCGCTGGTAGCATTAACTTTTTGTCCAAGATGTTTTTATTATCAGCAAGTTTGGTTCGGTTATTACAGTTTAATTTTATTATTAAGTCATTATAAAATTTTAATTGAGCAATTTCTAGTTTTATTTAATAAACAGAATTATTTTTCCGATTACTAAACTTTTGTTATATTATTTCTTTATCAGCAAGTTTGGTTAGTTCGGTTAGGTTATGATGGTTTAATTTTATAATTAAAAAATAATAAAATTGAATTTGAGGCATTTATAATTTTATTTTATGAACAGAACTATTTTTGCGATTTGTAAACCTTCATTGCCAAAGTGCTCTCTACTACAGCGCTGTTCACGGAGGAATTTAGAACTAAATGCCTCATTCGTACCTCCCCTAAGTCAGACCATAGACTAACCTACACAATAAGCATCTAGACTGCCAGTGCAAGTCCGAGGAACGGACTCAGATCAGGATCGTGTATCAGATCAGTGGATCACCCCCCACCACCGCTCAGTGCCGATGGCGTGACGTCAACCATTACTGCAACGATACGGAACTGAGTCATGAGCCTTTATGGTGAAGTGGATAGCGTGTCGGGCTGATAATCTGAAGGTGCCGGGTTCGAATCCCACCGGGAGCATTCACTTTTTGTCAACAATTTTTTTCATATCAGCAAGTTTGGTTGGTTTGGTTAGGTTATGACAGTTTAATTTTATAATTAAAAGATTGTAAAATTGAATTTGAGACATTTATAATTTTATTTTTAGAACAGAGCTATTTTTCGATTAGTAAACCTTCATTCGAGTTTATCGCTATCAGCAAGTTTGGTTAGTTTGGTTAGGTTATGATAGTTTAATTATATTTAATTCAAATTTAATCTACAAATTATACGTTTTGACAGCGACAGTGATACAGATAACAATTTTCCACGAACAGTTAGGTACTGATCTGATCTACGATCCTGATCTGAGTCCGTTCCTCGGACTTGCACTGGCAGTCTAGACGCTAGTACCAACACAAGGTCAGACCCTTCGGGGTCCACCCGGGCCTGCCTTGCAATCATCCAGGCATTTGCTACACGTATTATCAGCACAACAACCGTTGGCGGTTTGAGTTTTCTCCATCAATGTATATGGAGACAAATGTATATGGAATGTATATGGAAACCCTTGTGGTTTCCCACCATTATTTCTGGTTAATGTTAATTTTTGTTTACAGATGATTGACGTACATTTATTTGGGAAATTATTAATTGGATTTGTAAATTATCGCTCACAGTACTTGTATTTGAGAAATTATCGAATGTAGATTTATAAAACAAAAAGTGTGTAGTTCATTAGTTGATACTAGTAGTATTTGAGAAAGTATTGTATGGAATCGAGAAAGATTTAGTTTCATTTTAGAAAGGGGTCTTTTAATTAAAGAAGCTGGCAATTAATTATTGTATATAAGAAAACCGTCTCCATAGAGCTAAGCTAAAATTTGATTTTCTCTTTACTATAAAATCACAAGTTCTCAAATACAGCCTTTTCATAAATACGTAATTCACTGATCTTATATTATGCCTTCTCATAAAATTTGAAAATGTTGTTAAATATTAGAAAATCAATTTCAATCAATCAATCAATCAATTATTTAAGATGGGGACGCCACTATGTTGTTCTTATTGTTTTTAGCGGATATACTGTATAGGGAATAAGCTATTACCGTAGGTCTCGTAAGACCTGAATCCGGGACTGATTTACTTTTTCGTTTTGAGGTTCCCAGAGGCCAAAAACACCATACTTATATGAGGTAGCGGATTTTTATCCCCCTGGAATTTTACCCCCTGGGCAAACGTGACGTCACAAACCAGGGGGTAAAATTCCGGCCGCGAACTTTTGAGTTTCGCGACATCAGCTCGATGGATTAAACGCGGAATTAAACATATATTTTCACGGTTGTGAATTTAATCAGAACACATCAAATTATAAAAACCTAGAGTGAACGGCCCGGATTTTTACCCCCCGGAATTTTACCCCCGGAATTTTACCCCCCGGATTTTTACCCCCGGAATTTTACCCCCGGAATTTTACCCCCTGGCTAGATATAAAAATTAGTGAGAATGATTAATTATCTTCATTCTGTTTTAATTTAATAGTAAACATTTTATTATTAAGTAGCCTATCTTAATTTATTTGTGACATTAACTAATCGAACATGTTTTTAATTTTAATTTTGAGATTCAAGTATTAGGATTCGATCTTTGAAGCCAACTTTTGGTTAATATGACGTATATACAATCAACTGAATGAGATTACAAAATAAATAAATAAAGATAGGCCACTAAATAATGAAATGTTTACAATTAATTAAAAACAGAAATAAGAAAACCAATGATTCAATTTCTAAAATCGGCCAGGGGGTAAAATTCCGGGGGGTAAAAATCCGGGGGTAAAATTCAGGGGGTAAAATTCCGGGGGGTAAAATTCCGGGGGTATAATTCCGGGGGGTAAAAATCCGGCCCGTACATTTCAGTTGTCTAAACACTAGTTATATGGACAGGGGGTAAAATTCCGGTTTTTATCGCTAATTGAATTAATCACGCTCTGACTATTTTCATTAGACTTCGAAATCTGCGGGGGTAAAATTCCGGCCGCGAACAAACTTTTGGCCACTCAGGTTACTACGTCATAGTGACGTCAGCTTTGCCCAGGGGGTAAAATTCCAGGGGGATAAAATTCCGGCAACCCACTTATATATCTATCATATCTATATGTTAATAGGCAAGCATGTTTCTTTAAAACCTTTCTTCTCAGCTCGTGTGCATCGCAGGGAAAATCTACGCATACCGTTATAAAGATATTTTCATGAAGCTGTGCAGAATCTCTTTAAAAATTAAAATAGGTTTAAATATAAGCACAAATAAAGGGTATCAGCATTCTGACACATAGTAATTCGGACTAAAGGTCTCGAGTGCGAAACCCGTCGGGGACACTAACTTTTTGTCAAGGATTTTGCTGTATTTGATTTTTACCTTATATCTTTTTTATGTTATCAGCAAGTATGGTTGGTTAGGTTAGGTTATTACAGTTTAATTTTATAATACTAAATTTTAAAATTGATTTTATAATTAAACATACATTTCATTTTTATCTTTATATTATCAACAAGTTTGGTTGGTTAGGTTAGGTAATGACAGTTTAATTTTATAATTAAAAACTAAACTTTTATAATTTTATAACTAAAAATTATAAAATTAACTTAATTTAAATTTTTCAACTTAGCGGTTCTAGCGGCGAACGCTGACACTATGTTAGCCATCGTCCCTCCCGTGTGCCCCACCGGAAAAACGTCTGCATTCTAATCAGCTGTTACTTATTTATTTGCAATATTTACATTTTATTCCGATCCGAATTTTTTTTTACTTCATTTTATTTTACAACCTGTTCAGTACTGTGTTTTATCTATGGTACTGTGAACAATTAGTAAAAGGGATAAAATAAATAAGTGTCTTGACCAAGACTCCCCAGTGAAAGATCTTGCAAAATTAAATAGTCATGTCATAACTAAAACTATACAAATCGGTATGGGAGTTCAAGAACTTTCACAATTTTCAGTCTGTTGGGAAAATCACTATTGTCCAGCAAATTAACGCGGCTATATTGTTCGGTTGGGGTTCGAGTTGTTCTTGATAGTTCTTGCTAATTCTTGTTATTTCTTCAATTACTGTAGGTATTCTTAAATCTTCATGGATTGTTCGATTCGAAACAAACCACGGGGCATCAACTATTCTTCGTAGCGCCTTTGACTGAAATCTTTGAATAATTGCTAAGTTGGATTTACTTGCCGTTCCCCAAAGCTGTATCCGGTACGCCCAAAT